ACCAGAGCATGTGAAAGTGAAGAGAAGGAAACTGGCCCAACCAGAGCATGTGAAAGTGAAGAGAAGGAGACTGGCCCCTCCCTAAGGGATTCAGGGTTATAGTTGCTGTCATTGGGGGTTAGAGTTAGTCTGGCGGGATTCTGTCTAGTAGGTGTAAGCCAATAAAGTAACTGAGCTGTTCTTGGACTGTTTTGTTGTGGTTCTTGGGCTGAACCTGACATCCAGGTAACATTGGTGTTGCCCATTCTTTATGGGATTATTTATGGCATAGGAATGAGAAATATCTGGATTCACATAAAAAGACAATTCTTTAGAAAATGTAGGCTTCTGGATCCTGCAGTTTCCTAGTGACGTTATTATATCAAAAGGCTGGGGGTCTTCTTTAATTCATTTGGTGACTGATGGGTAAGAAGATGAATGGGTGTGCTATGTCTGCCAAGCACAAACACACCCATTTCACTCCTTATGGGAGAGAAACAATTACATGGGAGACTACAGCAGTTTACAATTCCTGTCACCTCTTTTGAAAGGAACAGTGTATGAAAAAGACTGAGAGACAAATGGGGAAAGAAGTTGATAGAGAAAATATAATAATAATAATAATAATAATAATAATAATAATAATAATAATATCAGCAACACTAATAGTAATAGATAAAAGCAACTAAAGAAAATGTAATTGATCATCTTTACCAGCCATTCCTCCATTGTGGATATTTCAGAATCTTTTCATTTTTGTGTATATAATAATCTCACAGCAGTTATCATATAAAAACAATCTTCCATAACTCCTTTCTAATTGTCTATCCATTACTCCAACAAGAACAGTTCTGGTTTTGACTGAATATTGATGTTTAAAATCCTCTGTATCTTTCAAAAAAGAGCTTATTGCCTTTTATTTTACTAGATGAAAAAGTTTATGAACAACTCAATATGATTCAGGTTGATTTTTCTGTCATGATTAATTCACCTTTAATTGCTCCTTCCTGTGAAGGAACATGCATTCTCCTAGAAAGCAAAAGAAAAATTATTGTACAGATTCTACTAAGTATTTCTGTAGCCAGATTAGTAAATTCAATCAAGCAACTCAGCCTAGAAGTTTCCTTTGTTTTATATGTATAATTTTTATTAAAGAAATTTTAACAAAGTAAAAACCATAAGAAAAATAAAAAATGATAAAGAAAAACAGCTAAGAATGAGGAAGGAAGATAGAAAAGAAAAAGAAAGAAAGAAAAGGAAAAGAATGATTATAAAGAAACAGCTAATTATTTTCTTGACAACAGTTATAAATGCATTTATATCTTACTCTAAGGTTACATCATAATTTATGTCCATAAATCACTCTTTCTAATCTTCAAACCCATAAATCATATGTTAATTTTTTCTATTTTTTCAGCAAAAATTCTATAAGAGGTTTCCTGTCACTAATAAATGTAGTTGTTGGTCTTTCTCTAATCCAACAAGTTAATTTTGCCATCTCTGCTAGTTCTGTCATCTTCACCAACCATTCCTCTGTTGTGGGTACCTCAGAGTCTTTCCATTTTTGCTCATATAATAATTCCAGCAAGAAAAGTTCTGGTTTGAGTAGAATGTTGATCTTTAAGATTCTTTGTGTCATTCTATGTATTTGACTCCAACATTTTCTGGCTTTTTTGT